GCCTGTCTACACACGTTCCTTAGGTCTCTGTAGTAGTATCATGCCCTCGACTAGGATGATTTCTGAGGAGGTAACCAGGAGCTGAGTGCCTGCCCCTTTGCAGACACGCATGTGTGGGGGAGATGAGACTTGAGTATCCATGAACGCCACGAGAGGCTCCCTGTCCTCCCCTCAGTGACGGGTGACATCATGAGCTGACATGATGATACAGTGGATTTGGGCAGGAATGCCCAACCTGTCCTACAAGTGTTGAATCTAGTACCCATGGGACAGAGGAGTTCAGAGGGAGACAGTCCTAAAGACCTCAAGTAATATGTACACCCTTCCGCTCCCTCAGATCGGTGTGGGGACCTAAGGATCACAGCTTCACCAGCTCTGCAACCCATAGGAAGACAGCTTTATCTTTGGGGGGGGGGGGGGGCGGCCCAGACCCCACCCCTGTTCCGGGTCCCCTGCGCACCCACCGAGGGCGCTGTCCGGCAGGCGGCTGGCGAACTTGAGGTCACTGGGGATGGTGAGGATGTAGAAGAAGTGAAAGAAGATGTCCACGGCTATGATGGCCGCCACGCTGAGGCCCGCCTGGGCCCGGATGTGCCACAGCTCACCCTCGCGCCTCACCGGCTCCACCTGGCTCACCTGGGGGATGTCCAGGATGTGAATGGGAGTCACTGACTTCCTGGGGATCGGAGGGTGAGAGAGACTTTGCCTCCATCCTGGCAGCCTGGCCTGAGGGGTGGGAACACCCGAGGGAGAGGGCACAGCCGGCTAGGGGAGCCCCCAGTCCCTGCCTTGGGAGCCCCATTTGAGTAGGAGGAGAGTCCTGTCTGGGAGGAGACACATCTCCATCTTGTGATCCTTGGGGGGAGGAGGGGGGAAGGTGGCCCGTCCTGGGGTCTGAGGAAGGCTGTCATGCCTGAGGAGGGGGCACAGCCCGCCCCGGGAGTCCTATCAGAGACGGGAGCCCCTGGCTGAAGAGGGACAGTCAGCCCAGCTCTGAGAGCACAGGGCGCCCCTCACCTGGGCATGGAAGCGATCAAAGGTCATGATGGGCCCGAAGAAGAAGAACGGCAGGTAGAAGTTGTACTTGAGCAGGTCAGCCAGGGAGTAGCGGCGATCAGGGTGGGCACAGCTCTCTAGGGCAAAGCTGGTGCAGCGCAGCGCCGTGAAGCCGCTGCCCCCCTGGAACAGCACCTCTTGAAGATCAAAAGTGCCTGTTACAAACCCGTTCTGGATGGGAGAGAGCAGGCCGCCAGCTCACCAGGTGCCCCTTGTCTCTGCGAAGCCCGCCCAGCTTCCCCAGGGGCCCAGCCTGGTCCTGTCCCTTCCTCTCTCCAGACCCAGTCAACGTTGGCCATTCAGGCCCCATTCATGGTAAGGGCTGGGGCGGGGCAGAGGATGAGCTGGATGTGTCCCTGCTTTGGTGGAGGGGACCACCTTGTAGGCCAGGCGTCCTCCCTGGGAACAGGCCGGGAGACCGCCGGGAGAGTGAAGGGAAGGCTTGGGGAGGTTGGGGGGAAGGGCTTTGGATGGGGTGAGAGAGGTTTGAGGTCCTATCCCTGCACCCTCTGCCCCTGCCCCGCCCTGTCGCACACCTGCCAGGAGATGAGGGGGTCCAGCTTGAAGGAGGCCAGGCTGGCCATGCCGAGGCCAAGACAGAGCCAGGGCTGACCCAGGAGTGAGGCCACATAGTGGCCGACACAGTGGCCCAGCAGCAGCAGCAGGTACCAGGGGCCCATCGTGCCCACC